TGAGTCCCATTTAGATGATTCCCTCCTGGTTTTTCTTTCAGTTTCAGGACCTTGTATCTGTCATTCTGTCATCTCTACCCACCAATTCTAAACCAAGCTGCCTTCCAACCACCTGCTCAGATCTTTTTTACTTCCCATGCCTTCCAGAAACCTGTCTGGATTTGCCCCCACCCTATTCACATTTAATTTGACTGGCTAATATTTATCAAGCCCATTTTATGTTCCAGCCACTAGTCATGACTTCGTGGACTTCAGCCTCAGAACCATACCAGGAGACTGGTCATATCAATATCCAGAGGAAGAAAATGAGGTTGAGAGTGATTACTGACATATCCTATCTAGAACTGAGCTTCAGAACTGAGCCTAGAACACACAGTGGTCTGATTCAAAAACCAGAGCTTTAACTACTTCACCAAACTACCTCCCAAAGACTGTCCAGTCTTCCTTCTTATTGGCTCATACCTCTGATCCTGTGTTTCTGTTTCCTCTCTGCTGTTCCCAGAGTCAAACCCTACACAACGCATGCAGGAATTGTTGCGGTGTCTCCTCACTCTGGGCCTTCTCCCTTCCCAACACTGGGCACATCCTGGACGTGGTGTGGTGGAGTGGAGAGCGCGGCTCTGGCACCAGACAGATTTGACCTTGAATCCCAGTGTCCTCACTCATCTACTCTTTGATCTTGGGTTAGCTCACTTAACTTCTCTGAGTCTGGGTTTCCACATGTGAAAAATGGGAATTCTTATAGCCTCTTTATCAAGGAAGTTGTTGTTGTTGTTGTTGTTGTTGTTGTTGTTGTTGTTGTTCTTCTTCTTCTTCTTCTTCTTCTTCTTCTTCTTCTTTCTTCTTCTTCTTTCTTCTTCTTCTTTCTTCTTCTTCTTTCTTCTTCTTTCTTCTTCTTCTTTCTTCTTCTTTCTTCTTCTTCTTCTTCTTCTTCTTCTTCTTCTTCTTCTTCTTCTTCTTCTTCTTCGAGTGTTTACTCAAAATATAGATAATGTAGGTCAATCCTTAGCACAGTGCCTGGCACTTAGTGAAGGGTCAATACATGCTAAGTATGGGCATTTGATTCGTCCCAGAAAGAAACTTCCGTCACGTTTCCCTCCTTTTACAGTGGGCACTCAGTATCCTTCTTGACCCAGTCCTGACTTTCTCCATCTTATCTCTTTGCCTTCTCTACCTCAAGTCCACCAAATAGTCTCCTCTATTTCCTGACCTCTCAGTGGGATGTAGGGAAAAGAACGTGTGCTCTGAGGTCAGGCAGACCTGGGTTTGAACACCAGTTTTGACCCTTGCTAGCTTTGTGAGCTTTGGCAGGTTCCTTAACATCTCTAGGTCTCAGTTTTCTTATCTATAAAGTGAGAATGAGGTTGTAGTGAGGATTACACCTACGAAAGCATTACACCTGACACCTCATAGGTGTTTAATCCTCATATGTATGTCATTATCAGAACCCCTGCTCCTCCTGTCCTGCCAATCTTCCCGTGGGAGCCTCCTTCCACTGGACAGTCTCAATGATCTTCCATATTCTTTTAGATTTCTCTTGCAAATTCCCATAATGCTTTCCATCCATAATAGTACCGAGACCTTTGCATTGTATGGTTCTTTAAAGTTTTCGTAGTTCTTTCCAAAACGAGCCCAATTAATTTGTACAACTCTGGTAGATAGTCCAGCTAGTAATTATTACCCCTATCTTTAAAAGGTAAACTGAGGCTCTGAGAGAGTGAATGACTGATTCGTGGTCATGCATAGAGGCCTGGAGCCCACTTCTTCCGGCTCTCGGTCACCAGTGCCTCTCTTCCTGTACCATTCTGCACCTGAGTGACTGCCATTCACCTGAAGTCATCGCCCTTTCTAATGTTGTGGATTGTTTTCCATGGGTACCTGCCTTGTCTGCCCAGGGAGAAGTCTGGTCCCTGCCCCTGGCCTAGTGCCTTGCAGATATCTGTTATATGGTTGATGTCATTCAGTGGATTGGAATTTGATTTAATGTGATATGTTGCAAGACCATTGTAGGAAACTAACAACTAAATTGATCAGAAAGTCGAACTGGTACAATGACATTTTATTCAAGTGTAAGGAACCACAAAGACAGATCCCACTCTTGCGACACCTGCCTCTCTGCACTCATGCCTTTAGACTTTGATTCCTTGGATTTGGGGACTTTGGAGTTGCCTGCTCCATCCTCTCTGCTCTGTGATCTTGTTTCTATAATATCCCTGACCATGCTGGATTGTGAGTAATCTGCTGAACCATCTGTTTCCCCACCCCCAGGCCGTGAGTCCTTCCAGGGCAAGCACCTTATCCAATTCCTGTCAGTGTCCAGGACCTGCCACTGTGCTTGGCACATAGTAAATGGAAGTTGAATGAATAAATCAGAAAGACCCATCTGGGTCCATCCCCTCATCTCCCTATGATTGTGCTCATTCCTATTTTCTTATTCCATAGTACATAGATTTCTTATCGCCTATACTGAATAAAAGGCAGGTTTCTTGTTTTACTCATTTTGTAGCCTCCCTAACAACCAGGAAAGGAGGAAACTATAATTATTGAGTGTCTATTGTGTGCCAGTAGTGATTTCATATATTATCTCATCTTTTAAAAATTGAATTTAATTCTTATAATAGGTCAGTGAGATAGGCATTATCATCTTTGAATTACAGAGGAAGGAGCCGAGACTCAGGGAAATAAAGTAATTGGAATTTGACCAAGTTTACATAGCTAGAAAGTGGCAGTGCTAGCATTTGAGTCCTTGTAAGACCAATGCCTCTCTTTTTCGTTGCTGCTTGGTGTTTGTTTTTTAACAGCATGCAGGTTAGCTCAGTGTGTTAGCCCAATAGGTGTCAGGAACTCTGCTGAGCTGAAACTTGAATTTAATCATATTGAATCAAATCTGTACAAGCCTGCTCCCAAATGCTTCGAGCACATATACTGCCACCTTCCCCTCTGACTGTTTGGGTGAAATGCTTTTGAAAACATGGGCTAAGCATTCTCAATGCATCAGACACAGTGCTAGGCACTAGGGACAGCAATGAGGACAGGTCTCCTCAAGGAGGTTATAGTCTGTGGGGAAACAGACATGTAACAGTGATCATAAATGTTATCTGTGCCATGGGGAGACGGGAGACAAGACTTAGGTCAGTCTGGGGACTCCTGGGGGATTCTGGGTAAGTCATGAAGGAGGGATGAGAGTTGGCCAAGCCAAGCAGGAGGAGAGCATAGAGGTAACAGCGTGTGCTAAGCCCCTGAGGTGCAGAATTGCAGGCAGGATGGGTCTGGGAAAAGGGAGCATTTTGGTAGAACAAGGCAGAAGAAGCAAGAGACGCTGAAGCTGGTCTCCCTGTGTTCACAGCGAGAACCAAAGGTCACATGTGGCTCCCAGCCCTTGGCCTTACATAAGTAGTGCTCTTGGCTTAGATGACAACCAGGAGAGTCTCCTCACCCAGGAAGTGAGTTACAGAAAAAGCTGGCAGCATATCCATCTGTCTTCTCTAGGGAAATGATGGATGAACACAGGGTTTGCATTTCCCTGATGTGTAGGAAATAATGAGCAGGCGATTGGGCAGGCTTACACAGTGACATCATGTGCCTGGGGCAGGGCATGGCAGCCCTCAGCAGGCTGGGAGGGTGGCTTTGTGCCCGTGTTCTTGATGGGCGCCTGGAGCAGAGGGCTCTGGGGTAGCAGGGAGCTCGTGTAAACCGGATCTGGCCCTGTTCAGAATGGTTTTCTTACGTGGTAGAGTAAAGCAGAGAGTTCTGTCACCCCGGGCCACAGGGGAGTGAGCTGCAGTTGTTACTTGTGTCCACCCAGTTCGAGTTTTCGTCCTCACTATGCCTGAAAATGTCCTTTAACCCAGGACTTTATTAACCAACCAAAGAATGGCTGAGAACTGGCCTGGTCTTATGATGGACTATATGTTCATTAACCAGCATATACACATATATATACATCAATACTCATCACAGGCAGAAACAAACCCAGTGAAGTGCTGATGTTGACTCTCCGTTCCTCTCCCTCCTCCCCCTGGCACTTAGAAAACCCCTCAGTCAGTTTTGCCTTGGTCCTGTCCAGATCTTGTTCTGTTCTCCCCCCACATCACCCACTGGTTCCCTCCTGCACCTCCCTCCTCGTTCATCCACGTCACCCTGATGTCATCCTCTTCACCACGTCACCCTTCCCTCCTGTAGGCACCCTCCCCCGTGATCCTCACCAGACCGCTGTGGACCAGTCCCTTCCACATACCCAGACCACCTTTCCCCATCCTCTACCGTGGCTAGTCTGCCTACCCCTCATCCTGGAAGGCACAGAAAAGCCAGCTCAAAGCCAACCATGCTTATTTCCAAGAGCTTCCGAAGCCCACACTCATTCCCTCTACCCTTTGCTCCTTGCTCTCCCCCCACAGCCCCACACTCCCCTTTTGCTCCCTCTAATGCATTCTTCACACGGCTGCCTAGATGACTTATCTAAAATTCAACTGCGAGTACGCCATTCCCCTGCTCAGGACCCTTCAGTGGTTTCAGACCCTTTCAAATGGCATCCAAACTCCTGAGGCATGCGAGGCAGAGCCATCCATGAGCAGGCTCCTTTCTACCTCCCTGGCATCGTTTCCTACCTCTCCCCTGACAGTTGGTGACACAGCAATGCTAAATTACTTATGGCTCCCCAAACACACAGTGTTATTTAATGGTTCTGAGTCTGCCAGAAATAGCCTCTCCTCTCTATTCAGTCTTACAAATCTGATCAGCCTTTAAAAGTCTCGCTTCAACGCTTCCCTGAAACCCAGAATGATTTCTGTCTATTGTTGTCCTGTCTGCATATTCCCAAGACCTTCTTGTTTACAGCAATGGTTTTATTCATCCCTGAATAGCACAGGGCCTAACACAGAGTGGGGGCTTAGCCGGTGCTGGTTGAATAATTGTCCAATTACACTTTCTTTGCCACATTTAAGGGACTCGTGCATTAGCCACAGCCACACTGATACCTGCATTCTGATTGGCTTTCCCAGGTCGGGCCAATCACTGGTCTGCAATCATTGGTGGATCCCACTCCAAGAATTACGTGCTATGGGAGTACGGAGGATATGCGAGCGAAGGTGTCAAACAAGTTGCAGAATTGGGCTCACCTGTGAAAATGGAGGAAGAAATTCGGCAACAGGTAAGAAAAACAATCACAGAATGACCCCAAACCAGGAGTGCAGTCAAAACATCCCTTAGATTTCTTTCCTGGAGGCTTGAAATTCACAGTACAATGTGCTGGAAAATCGGTGCCATAGGAAGCAAAATCTATTTGCTGAGTTTGGGGGTTTATGTCAATGTGAGGACAGAGACACACGTGTCTATCCTGTTGTCTCAGATTTTCCCCGACTGTATTTGCATTTTCTTCAGTTTGTACTAAAATCGGCTGCTGTGGCCACGTTTTGGGATGTGGCCTCCTGAGAGTCAATGCAGTTGGTTATGGTTTTCTTGCTATGATCCTTGAGAGGGTCGCAGGAGTGACACTGAAGTTGCCCACACCAGAATCACTATTCCAAAAATACACTGCATATCAGCCCATGCTTTTTGCGACTATGCCTCGAGGTGTTTAACAAGTTAGTTGGTCATTAGTTGTAATAATTAGGGACTGAGGATCTTTTATGTACTATGTACTGTGTGCCACGGGGCCAGGAACTGTACCATTATCTAGCCACCCGCCCCCCCCCCATCCCATTGAGAGTTAAGGGAGAAATAGCCCATCGTTCTTTTTGATTTGCTTGGCTGACAGTGCTATCGTCCCTCATTAAAAGCACTAGAAAGAGGCCGAAGAAGCATCTGGCAAGAAGAGCTGCCATTTTTCCACGGCCATTCACAGGCTGTACTGTGGAGAGGTGATGGGCCAGCTTCGGCTGGTACCACGCACTCACAGAAACCCTTCAGGCCTGAGAGGGCCCACTGGGCAGATACGGCTCACTGCTCACAAGTGCTCAGGAGGGAGTAAGAAAGGAGCAAGGGCGTGCTTGGAATGTGGTCATTTCAGAGCACAGGTCACTGCGAGGCTGTCCCACATCTCCTAAGACTGCAGGAGGCCCTGGGGACCTGTCTCAGGACGTGTGTGTGCCCACAGGCCTGAGCAGCACAGGAGGGCAAGCTAAGCTGAGGCCCCTGGTGCCTCTCTGTGAAGTCTCCCGTCGGGACTCCAGGCTGCCCACAAACTTTAAACTGAATGCAGCACAGGTCACCCTGACTCCTCCTATAATCTCCTGAAGAATCCTTTTGGACCAGAATCCAAAAATTCCCAGGAATTAGCTTATGTTTTTTATTAATTTGATTTAAAGCCTTTTCTACACTCTTGGGAAAAAATGTCTAACCAGATGTTTCAAGATTGCATGTTATTCATCACAAGTGTATCCAACCAACTAGCTAGTATTTCCCAGACTCTGGCCGGCATGCTCATAACTCACCTTGTTCGTGTACATACACCTGTGAGGCCATGGAAGACACCACCTTTTTTTTTTTAACTTTATTTATTTTTGGGAGTGCAAGTGGGGGAGGGGCAGAGAGAGAAAAAGAGAGAGAGAATCTCAAGCAGGCTGCACACTGTCAGTGCAGAGCCCAGTGCAGGGCTCAAACCCGCAAACCGTGAGATCATGACCTGAGCTGAAGCCAGCTGCGTAACCGACTGAGCCACCCAGGCACCCTGGAAGGCATCGTCTTGGTCCTAATCTGTCCAGCCTGTCATGGGGGAGGATCCTTTGCGATCCTGAGGGTCCACGTTCCTGGTTCTCAAGCACAGGATTCTGGTACACTGGCTTGGCAAGTTCCGTTGTGTGGTATGATAAAACCACACACACACACACACACACACACACATTACAAATAATAGTTGAAACACTGAAGTTTGAAAATAAATTAGGTCAAGGTCAAGGGCATCTTCTTAATAATGCCAGTCTCATTCAGTGTCCTTCTCGAGAGATTCCTGGAGAGAAGGGAAGCATGTATGAATCATGAGAAACTGGGACCAGTTGTGCCAGCAAACATTATTTATCATGTGTCATAGCAGCAAAAAGGTTGGAAGCTGATGGATGGGGCCCCCAGCCTTAGAACATCCCCCTTGGGAAAACATTCTTTGCTTGGTGTGTTCCTAACCAGCACACATGGGATTAGCTATCTAATCCCACAGTCTGCCTATCCCAGCTGGCTAGTATTCCTGACATTAAACCATAATAGGTTTAATTATGAATACTGCACCTGGGAGTTAAAATCCCACTGAGCATTATCTCGGGGTCTATCACTGTCTTTCAGGCCCCCTGGTGCGGGTGTCTACTTTTAGCACTCATGTCTAGTCTGAGAAGACAGTAGTATTATCCCTGTTTTACCGATAAGGAGACTGAGCCCCAGTCAACAGCCAGAGAATACTGGAAGTTAAACCCAAATCTGTCTTGCTCCAAAGCTTGTACACAGTACCATATATATAATTTTCAAGGCCTAGTGCAAAGTGGGGCCCCTTGTTCAAGACTTAAGAATTCTAAGATGGTGCTGCTGTAAGAGATGATGTAAGAGAGAGATGTAAGAGAGAGAGCACGCGCGCATGTGAGTGGAGAAGAGGCACAGAGAGAGGGAGAGAGAATCCCAAGCAGGCTCTGCACTGACAGTGCGGGGCTCAATCCCACAAGCCATGAGATCATGACCTGAGCCGAGATCGAGAGTCGGACACTCAACTGACTGAGCCACCCAGGCACCCGATGCTGTGAATTTCATAGCGTGGGGCCCTGAGAGTCTGCTGGTCACACACCCTTGAAGGTGGCCCTGCCAGTCCACTTGCCTGCCTGGTACAGCTGCCCCACAGAGAAACCCCTCCCACCAGCCTCTGGAATAATCCCTGTTTCCAGAGCTCCACTAGCAGTGCATCAAGCCCCAGAGCCCCTTGGAAAGTCAGCCAGAGAGAGTGATTTCCAGGCCCCTTTAGTTCCAAACCATTCATAATTCTCAATATTGTTCCCTGCGAACACATAATTTATTATATTTTTCTGTAAGTCAGGTAAGAAACAACATAAAAAAGAGCAAGAATATGAATCCTTCCAGAATATAAAAGTGTCCTCTGAATAACTGGGAACTTGTTTGAACACATCTACAAACTAACACAGTGTTCTCAGCCTTTAATGCCTTATATCCTACCAATCACTCTATCAAAGAACCTGAGTCCAACCAGGATGGGGGAAAAAAAAGCCCTTTTTTCCCAAGAAAGACATTTATATGCTTACTAGCATTCTCTTATTATAGACTTATCGCTCACCTGTAAGTTTCAAGGGCATTAAAAATCACAGTAGATATTGTTGGAGGTAAATCTTATGCTAATGGCTTTCAAACACAAATGAACAAAAATAATAACCCCATTAGTAGTGGAAAATTGTAATAATATTGTTGAGTATAAATTTTACTGTTACTCTAACTGCAAAACGGCAAGAAAATTAATGAAAAATCACCATCACGTTATTGGCTATACCACTGATGGCCAGAAAGAGACGAGGAAACGCCCAATGCACACTTCTTAGTGGACAGACAGAGTGTCCTGATGACCAGTGGGGACTGTGGATTAGAAATACTGAGCTCAGGCTAGACGGACAAGTCACAAAGAGGTAACCCGAGGCAGGTGGAGGCAGTAGAGAATGTTAGATCAACTTGTAGGTGGACCCAGGAACTAAAAGTGAGTGGATATTTGCTCACTGTTAGGAAAACGTTGCACTGAGTCCGTTTCCACTTTATCAAGCACACCCTTATGGCATGTGTCCAAGGCATCTGGTTCTCTGCCAATGATGCCCATTCACCGTGTTAGTCATGCTAGAAACCTGGGCATCATCCTCGACTCTCTCCCCTGCCCCAACTTTTGCCTTCTGTCCTAAGTTCATCCAGTTCACTCCCTCATCACCACTGCTCCACTAAGCCGCCCTCATCTCCTGCCTGAATTATTGCACTAGCTTCCTGATCTCCCTGCCTCCAGTCTTCTTCCTCTTATCCACACTGCTCTAGGGCCATTTCAAGAAAACACAAATCAGATTATGCCATTGCCTCCGACTAAGATGTCCTAACTGACCCTAAGATAAAGTTCAAACTCCTGATCATAGCGTGAGGACCCTTCCTGATCCAGGCTTGTCTCACCTGTCCATCTTATTTCTTGCTTCCGCTCTAAGCTTTGCTCATCCAGAGCCTCTTTTACGCTCCCCAAAGAGCCATGCCCCTCTAGCATCTGAATCTTCCCTCAGCCTGGAACAGCTTCCAGCCCCCCTTCACCCAGTGAACTCCTAATTATCCTTCCAGGCTCAGCTTGTTTCTTCCTGGAAGCCTTCCCTAATTCTGTACAAAATGGGTGACCTTGCCAGGTGCTTGCACAGCACCCTGTACCTCCCCTGTCGTCACCCCCATCACATTGACTGTAAGTCCTTGTTTGGTGTCTCTCCCTCACTAAAATGTAAAGTTCAGATCTGTGCTTTTGGTCGTAGTAGCCTCATGTACAAATGATGCAGCTTGTTATCTGCCCACTTGTCATCTAAAACCTGCTCAATACTTCCCCTTTTCTCCCCACGTGGCCTTAAAACCTCCCCCTCTGCCCCTGGGGCCCACATCCCAGTCCATGGCCCCAGTAGGCCATCACATACCAGCTCCTGTTCACTCTTCTAGGTTAGACCTTCCTCCCCATTTCTGGCATCCAGGAAATGTTTCCAAATTTTTCTAAGTTTTCCGTTATGTATTTTTAAAAATTTATCCATTACATTTTGTCCAACTTTTTTCCAATGTTTTACTTGTTTTTGAGAGAGAATGCACAAGCAGGGGAGGGGAAGAGAGAGAGGGAGACAGAGGATCTGAAGCGGGCTCCATGCTGACAGCAGCAACAAGCCTGATGTGGGGCTTGAACTCACAAACCACAAGATCATAACCTGAGCTGAAGTTGGACGTGCAACCAACTGAGCCAGCCAGGTGCTCCATCTAACATTTAAAAAAAAAATTAATGGGGCGCCTGGGTGGCGCAGTCGGTTAAGCGTCCGACTTCAGCCAGGTCACGATCTCGCGGTCCGTGGGTTCGAGCCCCGCGTCAGGCTCTGGGCGGATGGCTCAGAGCCTGGAGCCTGTTTCCGATTCTGTGTCTCCCTCTCTCTGCCCCTCCCCCGTTCATGCTCTGTCTCT